TAAGACTCAGTCTTTGAACTCGCATTATTCAATACCGCATTTGAAAATCGTATAATTCAATTTCATAGGATATTACATTTTTAGTGAACATTTCAAAATGCTGACGATTTAGGACGAAAAGTGTTCAGTGTTCAAAGGACCAGAGAAAAAACCGTAGTGTCACCCTATTGAGTACAGTCTTTTTTCAAAACAGTAATAAGTGGTTAGAAATATGCAAAGTCTACAAATTCCGATGATTAAATATGATAATTTGTAAATTATTGAATAGCTTTATAAAGTGGCTAGGTGATTAAATGGGTTTTAAGAAGTGAATGAACTATTTTCCTTTTGCTTATTGTTCTTCAACTTGTTTACTATTACCTTCCTTTGCGTTTGCTCGGAAAAAGCCAGGTGTAGTTAGACCTCCTGTGGATAAACTATAAAACTGGGCTTCATGGGTACTGATAGGCAACATCATGACACATCTGTTCATTAAAGAAAACTTAAGAATAAGATGTGAGGAATTAATTAGATAGAAGAAATATCTGTCCTAAACTTCATGTTTACTGAAGTCAGTCAGTCATCGCGAAATTTATATTCTCACTTACATCTGAACCCTCATTATCCAATGTCAAAGTTTAAAATTTCACCACAAAACTATTCAGGCTACAATCATATGATTATGAGCAATAAATATTGCTTAAAACGTGATCAATAGGTAAATCAAATCAGATTATTTTACCATGGAACCACACATTAACACATTGTATTCTAACTCTCTTGTTTGATTAGATTCTTTATTATAGTTGGTATTTGTTGCTAATTGATAGTCGAAACATACTGTTAATTTGGAAATTAAATTAAAGTAGTATTTTTCAAAAGTAGCACCCCAGAAGCCAATGAGTACCGAAGTTTTCATGTGTTCAGGAAAAGCAGAATAGTCTGTTGTTAAAATTTTTACAAGAAATAACAATAAAAAGAAACACAAGTTTAAGATTTAGCAACGTTTAGTTAACAATGCAGTTCATTTTACTTTCAGCGTAATGTGTGTAATGCATTAACTTGTTTGGTACATATTCACAAAACAGCTACATTCTTGTCAGTAGTGTCGTTGATAGTCCTGACAGCAATACATTTGTTTCATTTTTACTGGTCAGGAGCCTGATCATTTTGTAAATCATCATAGTATGAAGTAATAGCTGGAAAAAGTTGTTGTTTTATAGAAATAATAATCAACATGAACTTTTATAAAAGGGGTGACTGACTAATATGTGGAGAATTAATATCGTAAAATTACTGGACTTCTCACAAATTAGCACCAACCTGTTAGTTAAATAGTTAAACCGGTCAATATCCATAAGTCATCACGGAGGAGGTTAGTATTATTTGGGATAATATTTGTTTTTTAGAGGGGGACATTTCTGTTAAAAGTGTACAAAATCAGGGAGAACTACTTTTCCGATGAGTAACTGTTTCTCTAACCGCCAACTTTATTTGAAAATAAGGAAATTTCCCAAACAATGAAACCTTATGAATAAAAATTAACCTGTTCGTTCACCGAATGTTTAGTAAAAACAATACGAAATAGTTTATGGACATTTCCTTTTCCAAATGATATTCTACTGCAGGTACATAAAATTCTACCCAAACGTTACAAGTTGAGATACAAAATTTGATATAGGATGAAAACTGTTTCAAACTGATTGTGATCCTTCTGAAGATACACTATTATATGAAGCTACGACTTCTTACTCTAGGTAAATAGTTATTTAAAAGACTGGAAAGTAGCCAACTGGAGTAACTACGGTTAAGCACAAGTTTTCTAATCCAAATGAATCCACATGGAAAACATAGTTTGAGAAAATGATACCAGTCTTAAGAGATGTTTTTTGTCATTCCTCGAACCCTTTATCAGCAGAAATGTGCGGTTTGTTAGCTATTGAAGTCATGATATTAGACACAGCTATTAAGCTATTTGTCAGAAAATAATATCCAAAACTTCGAGAATCCTGTTGACGAGATAATTTTGTAGATGCCTTCTCACGAAAAGCTTTCCAAATACACACACACTCAGCCGACAAACATTCTTAGATACCCATACATACTGACCAATCGCATCAGAGACAGTCATAAACTACAGTATAATAAAAATGCCCGAAGTGTACTGATCATCTATTAGTTCCTTATTTTATTCCTTTTAATTGTTTAGCTCAGAAATATACAGCGTTTAAATGCCACGAAAAATAAGAGGAAAAGGCATAGCTTGAATTTTGTAAAAACTTTCACTGTTTTTCAATAATAATAATAATACAATATCAGAACTGATTATCAATAAAGTCACAGAACATTTTGTTAAACAGTCGTGGTAACTATAAAAGCACAACTTAAACACATATTTTCAACACCCATTGGAGTTATTTGAAATCTGTTATTTAATTGTGTCTTGCATCCAAAGTAATTTAGTTCATAGGCAGAATTTTCTGAAATGTACTAGGAAGAAAGCAGCCAGGTTATATATTTCAGTCAAAGAAATGTTGAGTTAGTGATTTGGAAATTCTTGTTTCGAATCTTACTGAAATCTAAATTTCTACCTTACTTCCAATCGCTGCCCATTAATAAAAGCAGAACAGCTTGCGGGGCTAATGCCGTTGTAACATTGACTCTGAAATATATTGATCACTGTCATTAGCTTGTGACTACTTATACCAATCAGTTACGTGTTACACTTGATTTTTGACAATGAGTGTCAAATGTATACAGTGACAGTTAAATAGTTTCGAACAGAAACACACTTAGAAACACCTGAAAGTAATAGTTTAGAACATACATTTTGAAACTGATTCCCGAGTTAATTATCCAAAAAGTATGCACTTGTATGTATTTGGCTAGGAAGATAATCAAACCAGTGGTCAAATAGCACATACTGCATACTTTTAGGTATAACGCACTTTCATATTTCAGTCAACACTGTGTGATTTATTGAAAAAATCGTATTCATAATGGAGTTATACCCTACCACAGTGCCCAAGTTTTATACTTATCTCAGTCAACGCTTTTGAGATAGCATAACTTCCAAAATCTTGGATAGTGCTCTTTCATTTAGCTAGGCATTACGAACTAGGTCAGTCACAAATCAGGTTCGTGTGGAACTTTAAACATTACTCCGAAAGGATTGGATTTGTAGTCAAGTATGAAATAAACGGCCTGGCAACCATCTAAAATTATTAAGGCATACTCAGATGGCGGATTAAGTCATGTATGTCTTAAGTTTCCGTCTAAATAATTACTAATAATCGCAATTACATTTTTAGCTTCTGGAGATTTCCCATGTACAAAGATTTCTTTAGCATCTTCAAATAATACAACAATGCTAGGTGACTCTGAAAGGCTGAAAATAACTGATAAAAATTTCAACACGATTTCAAATCAATTTGTAATTCAATCAGCTTTACACATTGTTCGCTAACCTCCCTATTCTTTTAGCCTTCATTAGTAAAACAAACAAGTGGTAATTACACTTGTAGTTCTAAATTGCACCAAGCAAATACTTTCCATTTCTTGAACAATAATTTTATTCAAAAAAGAAACAAGCAAACTTTACGGTTAAAAAATAAATTATATAATCTGTGACCAGTGTATACCTTAGGAAAAATTCAAATTTAGAGATCAAACTATAATGAATTCCAGAAAGATGTAATTTATTCAATAACAGGATGTAGAAGGTTATTATTCTAGTACCGCGGTTATCAAGGTTGGCAAAATAGACTCCACTCAATTCTATATAAGAAAAAGTATAGCACTTTACTAGCATTAACTGATAACTAGGGTGGAGGATTTTCAGACCTCGTTGAGGAAACGTGCTTATACAGATTCTTAACCCAAAAGAGGCTGTATAGGATAATAAACGACTACAAAATACACTACTATTAAGATAGCTATAATTTTTTAGTGAGATTGGTTGATATATTACGCTGTTACCCGTTTAGAAAAATAATTAAACGTTGAAAACAAAACGAACGGAAATATGTTGCACCCCTAAGGATTTGGAAGGTGAATTTTGACATTTCTTCAGGCACTGACAGTTTTGATCAGTTTATACATTCGAGATAAATGAACAAAAAGCTCAGCAAAGATATCTTTCCGGCTGCTTCATCTTCTAAAGCTGTACAATCACAATATTATGCATAAGTTTACATATCTAGTTATTATTTGATTCATGTTTATTTTAATAAAAATTGCAACTATGTAAACTAATGTATAAAAGTGTACAGCTTCTAGGAATGAAATCGAGAGAAAGATACCTTTGATGAGCTTCTTCTTTATACATTTGAGTTACAACTTAAAAATCTTATTTGTCGTTAAAATGATACAACAGTAACCAGAATAAACTTTCCGCTTTTATTTAACGTTAAACAAAGATTTTTGAAGTCACGTATATTTTAATGATAAATGACCATCTGAAACGATAAACAGCAGCAGTCGACACTGAGTGTTCGTATCAACTCTGTCACTAGACCATTTGTGTTGAATAACTCTGGCTAACTGAAACGCTGTTACCTGATATTCGACTGTCCCTGCACCACCAATATTGTGGTTTGTACAATCTCCAGCCCAACAGAATTTATGTACCACCTTTATGATGCTCCAGATGCTGTTCATTACTCATCTTGCACAATTTTTATCATTTTTCAAATACGTGTGACTGTTATAGAAGTAAATGTACACGTCCCACATTCTTTGAGCTCTCGTTTCCTTCTGTTTTAAGAGACGATGTGTCATTAGAGCGATACTATGAGCGAAACGAGGCTGAAAAGGAGTACTCCTTACAAAAGTACCCAGAACAATACACTTAAAGTTGATTCATTTCGTCAAAAATATTGCAAATGTTACTCAGCATTAAAGCAAAGCAGACGAAAACACAAATTCTACTTCGACTTCTATCGAAAGCTACCATTTTTACTTTGTTCTTTAAAGTATTTATTTTATGAACAGACATATGAGAAGAAAGAGTAATAACATACCTTCTGCATTGTGCTCAGATGGATAAAGCCGCTTTTGTTGAATGTCGAACATTTCTTACAGTTAAACTCTGAGAAAAATCATAGATCTGAAAACTATCTAAAACGATATGTACAAATCGGTCGCTGTTTTAAAATTTGCTGTATTTGGGAAGTTCACATTTGTAATGCATAAAAACAAACATGTAATTTGTGGAAATACGGAGAGAAACGAAAGACTCGTCATAAATAATGTCTTTTTCTGGGATCTTTCAAAGACTTTCACCGTCATCGTAAGTTTGCTCTAGATAAGAGGATGAAGCTATGAATTTTGGTGGATATATTACTTCTTTTTTCTGGGACTTACAAGCGTCATTCGGTAGGGTACTGTCCGAAGACATGTAGATTGAACTTCTGTGTTGAGAGGAGTACCGTGTATATTGACTTCAAATGCTGGATGTATGTCAAACGTGAATGTGCTTATCATTACTCCTTACTTTATAGGAGATGAATGGAAGTTGCAATGTACGCAAAGTATGATGTATACAAGGCAACTTCTTATCCCCAAACACCCATCGCGTTTGTTCCGCTTAAACCAAAAACGAATAAGAACACCAAATTGATAGTCCAGAATACGAAATATATTTCAGAATTGCAATGCGATGATGACTGCTTTGGTAGCCAGACAAACGAGTGAACCTGACGCGACAGAGTGCCACATGAAATTGATGTTATACCACAAATTTTCAGCCCGACGAATTGGTTTAAGTGGTTTAGTTCAGCATCCAATGTTGAGTGTAGAATTCTCTAAGCTGGTAATTCTGAAGAATTATTCGCTGTTACCACCTGATTTATTGAAATTCGTCTTTTGACTCGGCAACGGAATCATCGAAGTATGCCTTACCCTATCGTCGAGTCAGTGATTTTGAGTTTAGCAGCTTGTTAATTCCCTGTTTTGCTTTCTAGATATTTTGTATCATAGTAAACTTAAGAATATCTACACCAAAACAACGATTACTCAGGGATTCTTTTCATCGATTTCAACCTGTTAGTTTGAAAAATTAGCATCTGTATATTTAAGCAAATCTTCACTAACATAGAATTTCCAATAGCATTCATAATCGTCTGCAGTCATGAAAGTGTCGCTAGGATACCAGACAAATAAATGGATCAGTTATCAGGTGACTGTCACGCGAAAATGAGCAATATGCCTTACAGACGATCAAATTCTGGATGAACTGTTCCAGCAGGATGACAAACATAACACAAACACCTTTGGACACTTAATTTGGGCCACTGGTTTGGTCGTACTACACTTTGCATGTATTTCGAATAGGGACACCTTTCTTGGGGTATGCGGTGTCTGACAGACACCAACAAAATCCTTTAGGCATCGTTTTGGCGGAAAACAGCTTGTCCTAAAAATTTCGGGTTTGTTGAATCCGCATCGACATTCTCCCGATAATTTAAGTAAATGATGATAAATTCCTGTATTGCCAATGCAGAATTTTTAAATTTCATAACAAAACGGGCCTGCTTCGGACAGCCAGTAGGGCTTTCATTTTGCGGATTTTCGACGGGTCGAATTGCTTCTGATCAGCAGACTGTCAAACTACACTATATAGTTTGAGTAGTTTGAAAACTGTCTCTAAAGTTTGGCCTAAATGGATGGTCAAAAGCAAGAGCTAGTATTTTTTGCATGACCTGTTTACTTCCTATAGCTCGTTGATTCCATTTCAGCACCCACTATTCATGTCATGGCATCCAGTATGACAAACTAAAATAGTGAACAGTATGCATGAGTAGCTAATGAATTTCAGACTTTCAGAATCTGTGAAGACCCTCTTAAGGAAGATATACATGAATATCATGTGATCAGTCATCATGTATATGTCAGCATATACCCAGTTGACAGCATCCCCAGAGTACAATGATAGCCACGAAATTGAGGAGGACTTTGAAAACCATACAATAATTTATTTGGTTGCAAAGAAACTATCATTTGATCAATAAAGTGGAAAATAGCACAGCTCATCCGACGCATACGAGTATGATTCGTTCAATTTTATGAAAGGAATCACCTCATGAATTGCGGGATTCGCATAAAAGTGGGAAAACTCCAAAACACTAGCTTACAGCACGTAAATGTCGTGTGATTAAGTGTCATCGGAGGTTCTCTTAAATCATTTATTTAGGGTCCGAATATGTAGGCTGCGGTTTTTCCCTAACAGTCGGAGAATTTCGTCAAGTGATTGAAATAAGCATTGCGGAGCTCAACATCAGAAAAGGAAGGAAAATGACTCATACTGATGGGCAGAAATGGAGATGGTTATAAATGTCAATCGCTCCAACCTGTGGGGTAGTCGTATACGTGTACGCATGAGTGACAGAGGTACAAAACAGTGCCCCAGCCCACCGGAAAAGGTACAGAAAATCTAATTCACACTTCCATTATGGGTAAATTTTATTTTGATAGAGTCTCACAGTGTTATACAGGGAACTAAGCTCCAGTGAGATAAAAGTACTGGAGAAAGGACTAAATTTCAACGTAACAGTTAATAAACTAAAACCAGAGGATGTCATTCCTAACATAGAAGTAGCACTAGGTTCAATATATAAAACAACAGCAGAAGAGGTTCGAGCACAATGTGCATTAACCCTAAAAAATCAAAAGAAGGCAAAATCAAACTTGACAAAGTAGGAAAGAGAAGCTTTAATTAATCTAAAACAGGATAAAAATATTGTCATCGCAAAAGCTGACAAAGGAAACGCCACCGTAGTTTTGAATAAATCTGACTACATCAAGAAGGTCACTGAACATATTGAAATGGGTCCATATGAGGAAATCAAGAAGCCTGTAGATACAATAATGAATAAGGTTAAAAAATCCACAGCGGAATTTGTACGCAGAATGAAGCCGTCACTGGGTGAGTCTAAATGGTTTAATTTAATGCCTAAAACTAATAATGCTAGTGGGATGTATGGTACTATTAAAATACATAAGCCAGGTTATCCCATAAGACCAATAGTAGATTTTAGAAATACCCCTGCATATGAATTATCAAAACATTTAGCTCTAATATTATGCCCCATTAGAAATCGTTCAAATTCTAGACTAACTAATTCATATGAAATGAAAAATAAACTAAATGACATACAATTAGATAATGATGAAACAATGGTTAGTTTTGATATAACCGGTCTTTACACTAATATACCAGTCAATATGGCCTTAGAAGCAGTTAAAAAGGAACTAACTACAGATGCTGAACTCAATCATAGAACAAAGCTGTCCATTGAAGAAATTATTTTAGGAATTCAGCTATGCCTCACATCTACTATATTTAAATTCCAAGGCAAAATATATAGACAAACTGAAGGTGTAGCAATGGGATCACCAATATCCCCTATCGTAGCAGATATATTTATGGATAGCTGGAAAAATATGGCACTTAATACGTTTAATCCTACTCCAAAAATATGGTGGAGATATGTGGATGACACTTTCACAGTGTTAAAAACAGAACATATCTCTAGCTTCTTGACACATATTAACTCACTAGTAGAGGGGATGAAATTCACATTTGAATCGGAAGATGAACAAGGAGAGTTAGCTATGCTGGATTGTAAAATAAAACGAATAGAAGAAGGTTAACTTCACACTAGTGTGTATAGAAAACCAACGCATTCTAATAGATACTTAGATTTTAATTTGTCGCATCCGTTAACTGTTAAGGCGGGCTTAGTTAAGTGTCTAACAAACCGAGCCATAGCACTAAGTAGCACAAAAAAAGACCTAAACGACGAGATAAAACAGATAGAAGAAGCGTTGGTGTTGAATAATTATCCTTTAAAATTCATTAGGAAGATAACTAAAGGCCAAAAACAAAATAAAAATAATTGTGGAACTAGTAATGATAACATAAATAAGAGAGAATATAAGTCATCGACAGTTATACCATATAAAGAGGGGACATCTGAGACCCTACGTAGGATTCTGAATAAAGCAGGAATTAGAGTGGCATTTAAACCTACAAACTCACTCAGGGACAAGCTCTGTAGGTTAAAGGACCCATTGGACCCAATTAGACAAAATAATATAATTTACAAAATACCCTGCAATGACTGTGAGGTCAACTACATAGGTCAAACTAGTAGGTCAGGGGTAGTCAGATTGTCAGAACATAAGAATTTAGCTAAGATAAGAATGGTTGACCCAGAGAAGATAAGTAATTTAGAAAAAAGCTCGGCAGCTGCAATGCATGCATTAACACACAACCACACAATAGGGTGGGAGAGGGTTAAAATTCTAAAAAGTAATCTAGGTAGGTGGAAAGAGAGGTTGATTACTGAATCTTTGTTCATCGAATCTACACCCAACACATGCAATAGGAATGAATCATCACTCATACCTGAAATATGGAAAATAATACTACCCATCAAATCAAGTGAAAAACAATGGAACTATATAAATGAATTTGGGAAGTCGTGTGATTAACTTGATATGATTATGAGCAATAAATTGTGCTCGAAACGTCATCAGTAAATATTACTGTATAACACTGTGAGACTCTATCAAAATAAAATTTACCCATAATGGAATTACACTCTACCACAGTGCCCAAGTTTTATTCTTATACTAATTCACACTTGTAATAACCTAATGAGAAGGGTTATCCTGCATTAACCTCCTCTATTGGTAAATGCAATATTTATAAAAGCTAATGACGACAAAATGCAAAGCAAGCGACATGCATCCAACGGGTTGCAATGTGCCATAAGGTTGAAAACCCAAGCTTAAAGAGAATGACTTACCTCAGCATAAGTTCCTATTCTTCGAATACATGATATCCTATGATTCGTGATTGGACTTTCGTTATTATAAGACCCAAAGGAAGGAACCCCAATATCACTAAAAGGCCTCAACAATATTCACGCTGAAAATTGCGACAGTATTTGGGTTTCCTTATTATGTCCGGCCAGCCGAAGAATTTTGCTGCTGAAGACCTGGAGCCAGTTGCATACCACAATAATGACTCATCAAAATTGTGAACATTGTAGAGTCACTTGACATATCAGAGTTAAAAACTCACACGCCAACAGA